ACATTCTTCGGGTGATACAAAACACAAACTTTTCGGCACAATGCCTTCCCCAAAACAAAATCACATGACTTTTTTGATGTGCATGCGGAAATGTAGTCAGTATTTAGTCATTATGCAAAAAAATAGATCCTACTCAGTAATGCACGTTTTTATTTACATTGTCAACATTTTTGAGCATCATCTCATTTCCATTAGGCATTTTTTGTGTTTAATATTCCAAAATGTTGTTTCTGTTGGCTTTAGCATGTGCAGAGGTCTTTAGATAAGTGATTTAGTGTAAATCCTTGCTGTGTCGTTCCACAGAGAGGACATCAGGATCATTTTCTCGACTTCTAAGTCTGGTTGTCCTCTGGTGGCAGACACATTGGCAGAGTTCAGCATGACCTTTCTGCTGTTCTCTGTCTTGTTGGCATTGGCATTGGTTTTTCCAGTAGAAATTTATGATAATAGGGTATATGCCGAGCTAGTGTTGTTCCGATACTGATTCACTTCCGGTGACCTGGTATTGTGATTGTTTTAAAGCATCGATGTTGTAATGTAATTAAAATACATTTTAGTTAAATAAACTTTGGCATTCATTTAGTTGTTCAAGCGTAAAACAAGACAAAAGGCCTTTTACTCGCACTCGCCTTTCAGAATCGGCAGGCTAGCGCAGAAGCTCCATTGAATATACTGGGGTAAATTAAATGCTCATATTATAAAGACATGGCGGGGGGAAATGTAATTTAATGAAGAGCTTCTTGTACAATCTGAGACCCACTTTATATCGGATATCACTCAGCCAGTGGAGATTGATGATTTTTTAAGAAAACTGACCTTAAACGCACCGATTTTTGCATTGCCATACAGTTTACCGGAAGCGGTTAACCAGGTTACGGGCAAATTAAAAGTCCTATTAGCATGCTTCAGCATATACCCTATTGTAAGCTCATTACTGTTTTCAACACAGAATAGAGGTATTAAATTGATAAATGGCTGTATTAAACTGATCAAAATGTGCACATAGAATTCTTAAGCAGATTATTATAATAAAAATATTCTTATGCCTTCATTTTAACTATACATTGTTTTACAAATATCTTAAAGCAGGGGTGTTAAACTCTTAATAGAGGGCTGCAGTGTAAATGTTTATGGATGTTTCCTAGTTCTGGGAGAGCATCCACTGTGTAAAACTTAAGCTGGATAAGCTGGCAGTTCATACCCTGATGAATAAAGGGACTAAGCTGAAGGAAAATTAAAATGTAAAACATTATATATATATATATATATATATATATATATTTTTTTTTTTTTTTTTTTTTTTTTTTTACAAATGTTCTCTTATTACAGCAGAATACAAATTGTTCATTAGTCTCCATTTATATGTTCACACACACACACACACACACACACACACACACACTATGGAGGATCAAATGATTGCTTATTGCTCCTGTCATCAGCTTATTGTTCCTTGTACATCTATAGGGACACTGTAATTGTAGCAGCTTTGTTTGTGATGTCTTGATTGTGATGTTGTGTTATTATCTCACACACAGTGTGTGAGCGCCTGGTGGAATATTCCATTTCAAGCATGTGTGGACACATTAGGGGATCATTAAGACTAACTCAAAGCTGTGAACACATATGCTCCTCCCCGGATACACACAAGCTATTTCTGACTACCGCACCAAGTGTGCCGCAAGCCTACGTTTGAGTGAAGGTTTCGGCCGTTAGATCGCCCCCTGGGGGCTGGCTGCAGTACAAGTCATAAAGCCCGCCTCCTCCGTGTTAATGAAGGAGACTTGAGCCCAAATAAAAAAAAATATTACACTTGCAATAAAATGTCCCGAAAGATAGTTCTGGTCGATTAAGGCACTGGTTATTGTGCTGAAATAGGTGCAGATCTTCATTTTTGTAAACAGTTTGTTTTTAGCAGTAATTTAATGCTGGGCGTGTCATCGTGATACACAGCTGTGATTGACAGTTTCTCAAAGCGCGGCGTCTGAGCTTCGGCAGGAGAATGAAGTAGACTGAAATGTTATTATTCGATTTCTGTGTTATTTTACCATGACAAAATGAGTTCAGCAGTAAACTATAGTTTCTGACATACATGATCCTGGTGGAACACTGTTTATTCGCTAAGTTCAGGGCTTTTTTCGGGCTTTATTAGTTTGCTGATACACGCCTAGCCACCCAGATAGCAAAACACAGTTCCGGCTAGATTCTCGCCTGCCGGAGACATATCTCTTAGAGCTCAGACTGACTAATGTTACCTCTGCTGGACCTACTCCGGATGCCTGGACTCACTGCCCGATTCCAGTCCGAGTCAATCGAGCCAGATGCGGCGGCCGAGCGAGCAGGCGCTGCCGCATGCGAGCCGGAATCAGCCCGCGACGCCGCGAGTAAGTTATGCGCTGCGGCCTGGAGCTGGCGCGATTGAATTTATAAAACCCTCATATTTGTTAACGTTATTACATCCATTTGTGTTGATATGACAGCAAACGCATGCTGAGAAGTTCGGGGGGCGTGGTTGATTTTACATAAAGCGTTTGGTTGGAAGCTCGACTCTGCTCATTTTCGCGGCTCCTCCTCTGGCTCCATCAGACAATCCTTCTGCGCATGTCTGGCTCCAATTTCAGCAGTCTTTTGCGACAGTTTGTGCCCGTCAAGCAGGCGTTTTGCCCTCAAGGCGTTCAATGGGAAAAAGGGCTGTCGCGTCGTCCATATTTTTTACAGTCATTGTACCGCACACATTAATTAGCTTCTCAAACCAGCCAGTAGGCCTGTATATTCTGAGGTTGCTAAACTTGATTTTTCAAATAGTTATACAGCGGCTAAATCACAAATTAGCAGAATCATTTAAATATGTGAACAATTGTTTTTACCTGTGTATATTAAAACCACTGTCGCCTCACAGCAAGAAGGTCGCTGGTTCGAGTCCCGGCTGGGTCAGTTGGCATTTCTGTGTGCAGTTTGCATGTTCTCCCCGTGTTGGGATGGGTTTCCCCCACAAGTCCAATGACATGCGCTACAGGTGAATTGGGTTAGCTAAATTATCCGTTTTTGTGTGTGAATGAGTGTGTATTTCCTAGTAGGCCTACTGGGTTGCAGCTGTAAGGGCATCTGCTGTGTAAAACATATGCTGAAGTTGGCGGTTCATTCCGCTGGCGACCACTGATCAATAAAGGGACTCAGCCAAAGGAAAATAAATCAACTAACAATAAAACCAAAAAGTTCCCATTATAGACATGGTTTTCTCCTTCAAAGCCTACCACATTACAAAGTGCTTATGGGTTTATTCAAGATTTAATTAAAACAACACTTCTAGGCTACTAGAAAACACAGTGTTTTTCGCTATAACATATTTGTCCTTTCAGTTTCAGAGGCCCTTGACTAATTTAGCTGCCAATCAAATCCTGTCTTTCTTTCCTTGTTATGACCAAGAGATGGCAGAAGTGAGCCACGTCAACATCTCCATTGATTAATTATGTCAACAACGCGTCTTCCCATAATCCGATTGCCTTTTTTTCACATTTGGAGTGGCTTCCAGCATACACATTTTCATTTGCTTTGACTGTTGATGGACGTTTTAAATGACTGATTTGATTCACAGTTCATTTCTGGCATTTAATTACTACTGCCAGTGCTATAATCACTTTCTAGTGCAACTAAATCACACAAATGCATCCACAGTTAATACCTGAAGCTATTTTTCTGAATATTCATTACATATTTATTGTGAATTAAGTGCATATTATAAAAGAGTGACCAATATATTTATTATAGTATAGCTATTGTAATTTCCTTAGAGTCAAATGACCATTTCATACTGAGCTATTATTCAATATCATATCAATATCTATGTGAGGAATAAAGTGTCAAAACCTTACATAATTAAACTGATCAGTCAATACATTCTAATGTTTACATTTATGTCAATGTTTCATCTTCAGATGTACCTCATTAAGCCACGTTGCATCCCACACAATGAACTGATTTAATTAATTGCATTAATATGTATTTGTTTCCATTTTAATGAGTCTTCAGATCAAATACATTTCATTATTATGCCAAGAGTACAATGGCTCTCTGCTCATTAAAGTGGTGACGGATTGAAAAAGGCCAGTGTGTGGCCTGCCACCCTCATTAGCCTGCTGTTTACGTGGATTGGCTTTTCTTCTGCACAACACTATTAAATGGCTCTATTGTTTCCAGTTGCTAAAGTCCTCCAATCCAATCCCTTCCACTATTGCTCAGGCTAACCTTATTTGCTTCTACAACGCGACAATTATCAAGCCGCAATTAATGCAATCACAATCATGCAAATGTAATGGAAATCATCTGCATCCATCATCTCATTATTTATTACTCAAACTCAAAACAACAACCTCTAATGCTAATCAGGTCACTTAAAATGTTATGGATGCTGCGAAAATGACAAACAAATTCATCAATCTGCCCCAGATCCATGCAGTCATCTATCTATCTATCTATCTATCTATCTATCTATCTATCTATCTATCTATCTATCTATCTATCTATCTATCTATCTATCTATCTATCTATCTATCTATCTATCTATCTATCTATCTATCTATCTATCTATCTATCTATCTATCTATCTATCTATCCATCCATCCATATCTATCTATCTATCTATCTATCTATCTATCTATCTATCTATCTATCTATCTATCTATCTATCTATCTATCTATCTATCTATCTATCTATCTATCTATCTATCTATCTATCTATCCTGTATTTATTTTATTAATAAATCCTTTTTATTGTTGTTTAGATCTATCTAATCTTAATAACATTTGGTCTACTTAAAAAATACATCAATTCACTTCAGCTGACGTGGCTGGAAAAACACGCAAAGCACGAAATTTCATAGCATAATTCGAAATCAGGACACACATGACTAATATCCTTTTTTACATCACACAACACAAACGGACTTCCAGCGCCAGGAAGAAGAGCGCGCGCACGCCCAGCCGCGGGTACGTGCACGTACAGCTGTACTAACGTGATGTCAGAACGCCGTTGAGCTCAAAAAATGTTAGCCTGTGTTGTTAAGTCTGAAAGCTACAGGGGATTTGCCAGACGGAAATAATACCGTTTTATCGCCGAGAAACACATGCACAGGCCACACGATCGCGTCGCGTGTTTTTATACGTTTTTATATCCTCGTGAAGCGAGCGTCTTGGGTTTATCCTGAGAGAAAGTTCGTTGGTTTTTTTGTGGGAGTGATGTCGAATCCTGGGACTCGAAGGAACGGGTCAAGCATCAAAATCCGACTGACAGGTAAAACACCCTCTAATACGCTAATTTATCGCTTTAATGTACTAATTTGTTGTTAGTTATCATTTTATACGTTTGGTTAGCTTATAACTGTGTGTCGGTCGCAAATGTGTGTAAAACGCTAAGCGAGGATCCTGCTAGCTTCTGCTGAGGCGAGTTGCTGCAGCCCTGTCTCTTCATGCTAAACGCATGCTAACACGAGAAGCATCCCTTTTTTATTTAATAAACAGCACAATAGTCAGTGGACCTGCTTTATTTGCACTTGTGTGAACGTTATCAGCCGAAAGCAGCTCCCCGTGCACAGTTTGTTAGGTTGGATTAGTCATAAATCAGCTGAGTATAAACCGGATGAGGCAGAGGCAGCTGTTTTCTCGGTTTCCCCTCATCTGGACGCCAGTGTCTTCGTTGTAAATTAAGATTTTAATACGTGACAGACTGTTCATTAATGTTTTGCTTATTGCGCTGTGCTTGCTTTCGGAAGTAAGCTAACTATGGGGTTGATCTTTATGTGATAGTGTACTGTTTCACAATCCACAGATGGGTTTTTTGGGGGAGGATTTTTTTCCTTACTCTTTTGAAACCGCTCTTTGCTTGGAAACGAACAGGATATGATAGATGCATACTGATCTCATTGATATCATCACAGACATAGTGACAGTGCCCTGGAGGAGTGCTTTTACAGTTGCCTTTTTATTTTTTTAAACCAGATCTGATGTTGACTTATCAGTGCCCTTTAAAGCGTTTGTGGAATAGGAAGACTGGTAAACGCCAAATGACAAGGTTATGTGGTTTGCATTTTATTATAGACTCAGTAGAGACCAGATTAAACGTTTTATTCTTTATTCTTGTATATTAGATTTTAAAAGTGAAGTTTCATTTGTAAATGTTAATGCCCTTCATTTATATTGAGCAGTGTGTTTGTTACAGTGGTTTGTTGATTTTGGATGTAGTAATGATGTGTACCCTTTGTGAAGCTGCTTTATTATTATAATTATTAACGAAGTAAACTTGAATTGAACCGTTTTTATCTTTTGTTTACAGAGTACAACAGTTCATTGTCAATGTTAGCTCAGAGACAGCTTTAAAATATACAACTTTTGCAGTAGTTTGGTAAATGCTGAAATGAACGTTAATGCTCTGCTGCGGTTCAGTCATTTATTTTCATATTTGTCTTCATAATGGTATGAAAAACTAAACGTTTTGGCACATTACCATTAACACAAACACACAACAAAAGGAAACAAGCAAAAATGTGATTATCATGATAAGAAAGTGTTTTTAAAATGCAAATGCTTGTGGTGTTTTAGTCAAATATAACCACATCAGATATAAATTATAAATGAAGAAAGTTTATTTCACATTAGATGATATCTTTCATGATATAGTTTTATTATGAGGGTAGTTATTCCAGAGAATTTACTAAAAGGTGTGCAATAAATAAGCTTTGTGAAATAACTAAGCTTAAATATTTAAGGAAAGAAGATGACTCAATCTTGTTAGATTATTTTTGTATTTTATTTTAACTTTACTATAAATATTGTAAACCAAATATAACTTTTAATGAACGAATTACACTCTCACATTTTCACAGTTTTATGTGGACAGACCTTATTATTATAAACATTTCACACATCATCTTCTGATACAAAACTATCCTATGGAAAAAAAAAAACTTTATCCCTATAACTGCCTGCTCTACCACACGGTTGACCATCTTTTTACTGTTTTAAATAATCACCGTTAAAGTCATTTTAAAGAGAGTTTTAAAGAATGGTTAACACAATACAGCATTGTTGGTTTACAAAGAAAAAAAGAAAATCCTGTCGCACCACTTCGGCATACATCAAAAAAATTCATGTGGTATTCAAAAATGTTTATTTTTTTATATTTTAAAATATAAAATAGTCTTAGACTTTATACTTTCATATTTTTCATAGCATATGAATTAATTTCTGTAGTTTTACTATAAATTAACATTTCTACCATTTTTGTACATGTTAATATTGTAGAAATTATGGGATTATGGTAAGTTTATGGGGGAAAAAATTGATTTAGTGTTTTAACTAGCGACATTACGAGTTAAGAAATGCAATCCAAAAATATTTTTCTTGGTGGGCGGTTAAAAGGTTAAGGAAATATCAAACTGTTTTTTTTTTATTCCTTTAAAAATGCAAAATAAAAACAATTCAAGAGTTCAGATGCTAAAACCTCTATGCGCTGTCTGAAATGTCCATCAAAAATAAACTTTTATTTTTCAACCTCCTTTGTTTATGTTGAATTATTTTACTTTAAAGACCATAAAAATGACTTATTTGCTATAAATGTGTTTATTACTAAACTTACACACAGGAGCCTGAAAAAAATTCTCAGTTTGAAAGAAAATTTCAGATGGCATTTTCTAGGTTCTTGCATTTGAACTCCTCAATTACAATTCATGGATAAATACTGAAACTAAGTGATCAGTTCTCGTTGAAAAAATTAAGCGATTGGCAACACTGCCAGTCTCCCATGTAGTGTCTTTCTTGGCCTTATGCATAATGCTTGTGAGTTCGCCACTCCCACTTATTTACATTTGGTGGTATACACAGAATAAAATAAAATTAATATACACATTTCATGCCATAAAGATGATTTATATCGTCATATAACGATATGGCCGATAAATGGTATTATATCAAATCGCAATAAAATTGATGTCAATAACAAATATAAGCTTGGAAGTTTTTTTTACTCTATATTGATCTCGGAGCCAATCACACTGCAGAAATGTGCAACAATGGGAATCTAAAAGTGTATAGATATTAGAGATGTACCAAATCTGGAAGCATTATCAACTTATATCGAAATATTTTTGCCATGCGCTGTAAAAACTGCTGGGTTCTACATAACTAATTTCTGTAGGGTCAAAATGAAGGAATTAAGTTTAACTTATAGTTTTCACATTTAAGTGGATTGAACATAAAACAATTAAGTTGTCCCACAAAAAAACTCAAAAATTGTGTTTCCGCTCCTTTTGAAAAAACGGAATTTATAAATACGTAACAAACAACAAACATATTTTTTTGAGCGTATCGGCTCTTTTCATAGCAATAATTGTAAAATTCTGTAACTTTTTCTCTGCCAAAAGTGACCAAGCTTACGTGCTCCACAGCGGTCACAATTTATAACAGTTTAAGTTTGAAATGTAAATTTTTTTACACCCAAAAAGTGGTCACAAATGGAGTCTAACTATTTCAGAAGTATAATCTAGCGCCATAAAATTCCCTAATACAACTTACTAAATAAAAAAATGCTATTCGATTAATTTGATGCATTCATTTATATAATTTAAAATTTTTTAATCTGAATGAACTAAGATTACCCAACAGCGTTTTTCTTCTTTAATGTGAAGTGGATCATTTCATTAATGGCCATTGATTTATTATAAAGTGAGTTAGTTTGCTTTTTATGTAGATGTACAATAATTTACTACATAATCCATGTTCCCTCTTTTTCCTGAAAGAACTATTTTGACATCCAACATTTCACTCTGAATGCTTTGATGGAAGCGATTACGACACCATATAAAGACATTTTGTTCCCACACAAACAAGAGAGCTCTGAATGAGCGGGGCTTTACTTTACACAGATGTGTTTGTGTCTCGCAACATCTCCTCTGTGGCCACTTGAGAGTTTGTTTGTGGAAGAGATGTCCACAGCAGAGGTGGCGAGCTGTCGGGCTGCAGACAAACCCAGCGCCTCCAGCTGTGCTGCTCTCTCCCCCCTGGGCCCATGAAAGGAATTCTAATTGGTCAAGGAATGTCTGTCTCATGAAACAATGAGTGTTGAATCTCCTCAATGGCCGCTTCACTGTTTAGACTCGCAGGGCGTTTAAGTCCAGAGGATTTAGGTTACGAAAGCTTGCAAGATTTTTATCTGTATGATAGCGATCAGTAGATGCAAAAGTGCTCCCTTTAGGCATTTGGAGGGAGAGCACATTGTTTTTCACTTTTATTCTTGTTTCCTCTCAGATTGGGTATATTTGGAAGAAAAAAAGGTTTTTGGTAAGCACTGCATCTAATTCTTGTTATAAACAGTAGTTACCTAAAGATATTGATAAGTTTGGGAATCATATTGTAAGTGGAATTTTACAGACTTTAATGATCAAATATTAAAGACACAGTTCATGTGTTCGCTCTTATGTTGTGAAATATAAAAGAATTGTCAGTATAAAGAGAATTGTCTATGGGCTCGAGTGTTGTCGTTACCAAATTTCTTAAAAATGTCTTCTTTGACTCTAGAAATCCACAGGCATGAAATGACATTAAGGCCCCGTTTACACTAGTGCGTTTTAGTTTTAAAACGCATAAGTTTTGCTACGGTTACGCCATCCGTCCACACTACGCCGGAGTTCTCGAGCGCCGAAAACGGAGCTTTTTGAAAACGCTGGAGAGGCCGTTTTCATTCTAAAACGCTGCTGCTCCGTCTTAGTGTGGATAGGGAAAAACGGAGACATCTGAAAACGGAGGCGGGGCTGCAAACGTTCGCCTATCTGATTGGGGCTTTTCCTCAATATTAAGTAGCCCACACACAGTTCAGTCTCGCATCCTCTTCTTGTAAGTTAAGACTTCGCAAGTTTGATCAAGGCTGCAGTCTCCCCTTTCTCAGTTTGATATGGAAAACATACGGAGGACACGGGTAAATCTTCAAAGGGAACAGTGTACTTTATAACTCCATTCACATCACCTTGGCTATGTTGTTTCACTTTCTCAACAATAAAATGTAAACATGATTTAAGGAACTGCCTATTTTCTTTTTAATATTAGCAACTTAACAGACAGCAGAAATGTTGAGGCGTCGTGCTGCATATATGGGCGTCATCTTCACTGTGTGGATATTTATAACAAAACGGAGCCTATAACAACTGTTTCCTTTCAATTTCAGTGAAAATACGAAACGCACCCTCTCTTTTGCTAAATATCAGTTTTAATAATCGATAATTATAAAAGTATAACATACAATAA